ATACTTGCCTTATTTTCGGTTCCATACTTCCACTATACAGTAAAACAAGATGGCTGACTTTCGCTTAACTTACAGCAGCGCTTTCTCACCTGACAAAAGCAATTAGCACAAGCACAAGCGAGCAACAACGTTGTTGTTCTTATGCTAGTGTCGCGAGTGTCCTCACTACCCTGTGCTTATGCTAATGCTAAAGCTGTGGGCATGTCCTCACTACAAATAACAGTTATGCTTATGTTTGTGTTGATGTCGTAGTGAAAACCGGGCTTAAAGATGATTTCCAGTTCGTACTGCGCAATCTCAGCACCCTAATGTTTACAAACAAAAAAAAGTCTCACTCGATGGAATGCGAATCGATGTTATTCGTTACGAGCCACATACCTTTTAAAAATCTTTGAGGCCTTTCAAATTCTCTTTCCAGCTGCCTCGATTCATTGATTTTTACAGCTGCAAAGTTGTTTCATCAAATGATACGAGAAAGAACGAAACAAAGTTTCGCGTCCATAATGGCGGTGGACATGAAACTTTGAATTTACTTCATGTAAGTAGTTGTGAAATGTTCACATTTTGTTATGTCCTACATAACTCTCGAGAGTGCGCGGTACGGACTGGAAATCATCTTCAATGTGTAAATGTATAGAAATGAACTACAACCTTGTCGGTTGAGACAATAATTACAATTTAAAGAGGCAGCACTATTATGAGCATGACCTCGAAAAGGTTTAATACATAGCCTCTTACGGGAACTTGAAATGAATAAATGAAATAATTTGTTTTCGCCGAGGCATGTGTCTCTTTTCGCTTGTTACTAGCTACGGCCCTCGCATGGAAGATTACACGGTTCCGCCAACGTTCGTAGAAAGCGCGTAGACACCCTTGAATATTTCTACCCATTTTTTAGAACACCGAACTTAACCTCGAATAATAGTTTGACAAGACTTATCAGTGAATTCTGTCTTCGGATTTTCATTAAACGACTGCATTTCCCACCAGTGGGTACCCATAAAAGGTGGCTACGGCCGGTTGTGTGATCTAATCGAGTCTTGGCCTGTACGATTTTTCGTCGTAAAGAACGTGAAATTATTGGCAGTCTCCTATTTTGTCCGTGAACCAAATACAAGATATATTTGAAAATTCACAATTCATTCAGGGTGAGTTTACTTCTATCATTGAATAAAATTAGCTCTCGGACTTTTCCGAGTACTGTGTGACTGCTCTGTTTCTTGCCAAACGTTTCAAGGCTTATTGTTTGTTTGTTTGTTAGTTGGTTTTGCTTTACAATCTGTCCAATTTTTATGTGACCTCTTGTTAAAATAATCAGGCGTTTAAAGAAGAGAGAGAGATGGGGAGGAGAGGGGTGGTGAAGAGGGCGATGGTCAGTGTTCACTACCTGTCGAGAACTTACTATGGCAAGTGTTAAATTACAATAATCATCAATAAAAGAAGAAAACAAAAATGTTCAATAAAAGGACGATTTTAATTGTTTTCAACCGACCAGTCGAAAATGAATGGTCGAAACGTCGAACTTCATTGTCAATTGTTCATCATAACTTTCGTAACTGTTTAACAATGCAACAGTAAGCATAGTAAATATTTAGACGTTTTTCTGTTTTAATTTCGAGGGAAACGACCTTATTAGAAATCTCGGAAAATACGAGGAAAAAAGGCCTTTGGAAAGATTCCAAGAAAATACTGTTCAGATACAACATTGGGGAAACGACAACGCAACAGCCAACCTTGAATAGTTGTAGAACTAAGAATGAAACTTCTGAAACGACGAGTCTTCAATACGAGAAGAAATCTGAGGCGAGTCTCTTCGCGCAGTGGCTTGTGGGACCTCTTGTGTTTGTTTTGCCCCCAGCATGCTAAAGTCCCAATACGAATGCGAGGTTAGACTCGTTCAAGATTTCTTCTCGTTTCTAAAGTGGTGAATTGTTAATAACACAACGCGCAAAGCTTAACACAACGTACATTCCGCGACGTCAAGTTTGCTTGACGTCAACATTTTGTCACGCTATACCTGTTTGCCAACCTGTACACTGCAGAAAGAATAACCAACGCTTTTAACGATTCTTGAAAAAAGTTTAATTGTACAATGGGCGAAGTATCGAGGAATCAACAGGATTCAAGTTCATCGCTAGGGAGAGTTTTCGTCGCCATTTTTTCGATGGTCTGCAACAGCCCCTCTTTCTTGAGAAGCAGGTCACTAATCTTGCTTTCTCGTAACTCAAGCTTCCTTTGAAGTATGTCGTCATCATATACCCAGCATTCCTCGTGATCATTGGAAGCTGATGAATCGGTGTCATCGTTGATTGACAAGTGTGACCAACTGACGTCACCAGTGACGTTGAACTTCGCTGGGAGTGGCTCTGCGTCGCTGTCCTCTACGTCGTAATAAGTGACTTCACTCTTGGCCGAGATGTTTTTTTGCTTTTCAGCGATAACTAATGAGGCAAATAGTAGCCTTTATTTTGTGGTGACTAAGAAGAATTTCCGGGATTTTTTCAGTCCTTCTAATTTGATGAAGCAATACCTCCGCTGTTTTACAGTTAATGCCACAATAATGACATTAAAAAAACGCCCAATCATTGGTTAACAAGTTATGATCATTTTCTTGACTTGCAAGTTACAATAAAAACGGTGTGACCCGTTAAAAACACCCTTAACTGCGTATAACTAAAAAACCGGTTTCTCATATTTTTTTTGTTTAGGATTATGGCAAGATTCAACTTTTCACAAAGTTAAAAGACTTTAAATTTTCGTAAAATTAAAGTGGTTGTGAAGCCCTTCGCATGCGCAATTTTTTTTTTTAAACTTGGCACAAAATTTTATTTTTTAAAACTACAAAGTAAAAACGGAGCTCTGGATCGAGTTCATCCATGTATACAATTCCTATCAGAGTTCCATATATACAAACTCTTATAGTACGCTTTGGTCATATGCATCGCGCGGAAAATTACAAACAAGAGTGCCAAATGTGTGGGTGGCTGAAACACAACTCCATTCCAAGCACACTGAAATCGTTTTACTGTGATAATACTGTGATAAGTTGCATTTTTTTCGGTGTGTAGCCGGTTTAAACATGACTTCTGCATTCTACTAAATTAGCATCGGATTAACATTGGAAACTGAAACACAGCGTGTGGGATCGTGAAATGCAAGTTTTCACCACTTTGAACTGATCTCAAATCGTTAAAGAGTGTTTAGGGCAATTCTAGCCGATGGAAACGAGAGTATTTAAAAGCTTACACAACCTTTCATTCAAACAATTTCTTACCTTCCATTTTCTCTTGATCTATATTTGGCGGAGGCGGTAGATATTTCCAAACCACCTTCCTCGGCAAAGTTTTGCAGCGTCTCTTGGCGGATAGACCATTGAACACACCGTCTCCTTGCTTTCTCTTCGGCACCTCTTTGCTGTCATTAACTCTGCGGTGATTCTTGGACCCGCTTCGATTGAACGTGTTTGTTAGAGTCTCGTATTCGAGCTTGTCTTCGTTGTTCCTGTCTGCCGATTTCACCAAGATGTTCACGTTTTCATTGAATTCCTGATTATCTTTACTGCCCGCTAATGGTTCAGAGTGAGATCGAAGAGCATCAAGTTCGCCTTTCTCCTCAAAAACTTTTTCCGAAAGTTCTTCGTCGGGTTCTGTTAACACTCCACGTGCAGTTGTTTTAGAATCGCTTTGGTCATGATCTATATCGGGCGAGGAATCACTGTAAGTGGACACCCCGCTCGAGCTGTCTTCTTCATTCAAAAGCCCCAGTTTCTCAAACACGTTCATTCTTAAACCGTTTCCACACAGATCCCCTTTTGGCTTTTCTGAACTTAAGTATTCTCTCGTAGTCGTGTTAACTCTAAACTCCGCTTTCCAATCTTGAATTCCTGCATCAGTCATTTTTGCACGCTCTGTCATCTCCTCATTTGGCGTCAATGGTGAAGTTTTGACAGGTGTAGCACTCAAAGGGCTTTCATCTTTTCGTACACTTTTCCCTCCGTGTGAGCCGTTTCTAAGTAGCCCAATCTCTCTTTGCAGCATTTCTATCTTCTTAAGAAAGCGTGCTTTCTTGCGTTCTGATTGCTCATGTTTCAGTCGTTTCTCTATTTTATTGATTTTTCGCATGCGATGCGAAATTAGTGCAGTTTTCGTTATCTTTAAGGGTGGTATATTCGACGAAGTCGAGGGACCCTGCTCTGTCGTTTCTTGGCGAGGAGACATTAAATCTTCTTTTCCTGTTACTGCTGATCTACTTGTGCACTCCTGAAGATCTGTGTTTGATAATCCTTCAGCAGGGGTTGCGGATTCGGGTGCACTCTCTGACAACTAAAAATATTGTGCTTCGTTTAGCGTAGCCCTTGAAACTCTCCCTTTCCTGCCCCATATGAGGTATTGAAGGAAGAGTTTACTGTTTTATACATGCATGGAATACCTCAGTGATACATGAAGTGATCCAAGCTAAACACAGGTACACCATTGGCAACTTACTGTTTTGGTTATGTTTTGTTTTCTTGTTTATTTGTTGTTGTTGTTGTTGTTGTTGTTGTTGTTGTTTGATTGTTTGTCTTTTTTGTTTTGGTTTGGTTTTAGTTCTCGTTTTATTTTTGGACTGTATACTCTTTTGCTCAAGGCCTAAAGGAGTAGATAAAGCCTCCTGATTCGTTACCTACACACAGGTAACGTTGTCGAGCGCGCAAGCAGTTTTCGTCCATCACATCGTATCCAATTTGCACCATGTCGCCGTAATCAATTTTCGAGTATTCGACAGTGCGTTCGCTTTTATCTGATTAGATAACACGATCCACGAACTCCATGAATGAGTGTTCAAGATTTGCGAACAAATGCGGCTGTTCTATCGATTGGAGTGTGTGATCTACGTTCAGCTGGATCGAGGACGTGAAACAAACAAAAAACAATTGAGCAATCTGGGACAAGCGATAGACACGAAACTTATCGGAGCTTCTGTTTACGTACCGAAAGGTTACGAACGTCAGGAACGGTTTCCGAAGATGTGTAGAATCCAGGACTCGCGCGCACTAGCCAAGCGCGCATAAAACATTCACATTCATGATCAATAAACAGATGACATGGCAGGAAAGAAGGACGTAATCCTTCAGGGAAAGATCATGGGACAAACTTATGTTGATGAGATAGCTGTGACATGCTTCTTGAATTAGCTATACTTAGAACAAGTTTCATCATTGCCTTACTCTGATTTCGCAGTGACCAATCCCGAGAAATTCATGAAACAAAGAAGAAAAATTCATTGGAAAACCTTTGTCTTTGTTCACTAGTCATCGCTAACATGGCGGCGGTGACATCAAACGCATAAAAACCAAGAAACCGGGGGAGAGACGCCAACCTCGATCCCAGGCTCTTTCTCCTCTCTTTGCCTTGCCGTGGGAGGAAAGGGAGAGAAAGCCTTCAATCGAGATTGGAACAAGGACAAACTCAGCTTACCTTCACGCTTTCGTCCTCAGTTGAAATGCATTCAGATTGCTTTCCAAACTCGTTTTCATCAGAATCGAGGCTTTTTCTCGCATTATTTCTCAGGCTGCAAACTTCAGAAAGAGGCTTAATACGGCCAAAGTTCTGAACAGGACTTGAAGAGGACAGATCTAGAATCGTGGATATCGAATGATTAGTTGGCTTTTCTACGTCGGTGACATCTTCAAAGACATTTTTCGCTTCTGCGTGAGGGTTACAATGGCAGTCTGCTGTAGCTTCACTGGTGTTAGATTCCTGATACCTCTCAGCCATCGAGTGTACTGAAATGATCTTCGGAAAGTCACCATGATCGTAAGCCACACCGCCGAGCAATCTTCCAAGTCTGTTCTCCGTGGCTGTGTCGAGATTTGCGTGATTTGGGGCAGCGTGATATCCTGTGGCGATACATCCGGTATCGTTACGTTCTGTAGCGTGATATCGCGAGAAGTGAAATGCCGCGGAGGAAATGTTTCCTGGTTGATGGAAAGCGGCGTGGTGAGTCACTTGTGAGGCTAAGGGTACAAAAATGAAAACACAATTATAAAAAGGTTTAGAAACAAAAGAAAGGTCTTGATAGACTGACAATGCGTCATCGTAGAACCGTCCTCTTTAATTAACCCTCGGGCGCACAAGGGGGCGGAGGGTTGGGAGGAACCCAAAGTTGTAAGTATTTTGAGAGCATGATTTATTCTCCGACGTCGAAACTTTCAGTGGCTGTCCATTTATCCCTTGCGGAAAATTTGATGTGTCACCTGTTTCTTCACGTCATTTGACATTGCCATAGAAACCGCACTTTGACATATGCAGGTCAAACCAAATGCCGGATTAATTGCCCACTAATTTATGTTCTGCTCTGACTTTAATTTTTGAGATCACGGTGAAATCCAAGATGGCGGATCAAGATGGCCGATTCAGTGACGTTATGGCCAACAAACCACGTAACAAACCTCTAGTGACGTAATGCCATCCAAAGTAACATGGCCTGTGCCAGTAAGGGGGCTCATACCCAGTCCGCGGTGCCAAAGGCGTGGCCGCTTGAAGGCTTGTTTGGGAAAATTGAGAATTCGTCCAAGAGGAAATGTAAGGCATTGGTAAACCGGGGGGAAGGGTGCTTTCTACTTCTTTTAACTTCTTGAAGGAACAGGTATCACAAGAACACAGGACTTCGCTGCAAGGAAAATGTACAAGAGAGGAACCCATCAGAGTGAGACAACGATGTCATGTGGCGATGGCAGGCTTAATTGAACAGGAACAGGATATGTCAGATTGAAGCCTCAAAATTACTAATAGAGGTAACTCTCTTATTTTCAGCTGGTTGCATATATTGTCGCAGCGAGCACCGTAACCAAGTTTTCTCTAAGGGTATGAATTGTATCTAAGCAAAACACGTGACGAATTGCAATGAAGCAATAATATAGAATGATGTAGCTAATTACAGGTGTAAATGTGTGAAAAGTTCCATAGGACAGGGATAAGTATTGCGTAAGGTTTCCGCATAAGCAAGAGAAACACACGCAGACGCAGTCAGGCGCTGCTAAGTAACACCTATTGCCAGGACATTTTCCAAACAAAAGGCGCTAATTACCAACATCTTATTACGTCTGCGTAAGTTGCTTATGCAAGCTTATGCTTATTAACAAAACGCATTGCAACCACACTAGATATACTCTTGCTGCAGAGACAGATTTTGCATGGAGTGTACTATTCTAACCGTCGCAGCTATGATAAAAGAGTATTGGCAAGAGATGGAGAGCTTGAGCAAACTACGTCAACAACAATCGGCAGCGTCGTCAAGCAAAAGGTTTAGGGAGAAGTACAATACCCTTGCACGTGCGTTATAAATCTTGGTACAGTTTCTTAGCTGTCCTAAAAATTAAATGACCAAATTCGGCGTATTTTGAAGACTGTGAACCACAACCGCTGATTTTTCCTACTTGGAACGGAACAGTTCCTTTGCTTGTCAGTGAGTTTACTCAAAATGACAACAAGAACGACCCCAAACAAAAGGTTTAATGAGCAGAACAGAGCCTAACTTGTATCATACATCTGGGTAGATTTCAGTATCCGTCCTATGCGGAAAGTCAACAAAGTAGAACGTTTTCGATCTGGAGAACGGTAGCCACCACAGTGAACTACTTATATTGGTTTTCTATTTAGGACTAAACGTTGTCTTGACAAGGTGAGAGGAGGATACTTTAGAGGTTCATGAAAGTTTTAAGAACTGGTCGGTCTGACCGTCGTGGTTGCGTTAACACACTTTTTGTTCACAATCCAATGAAAAACATAGTTTCGATCACAAACTGTATAGTACAGGACATAAACTTGCTCAAGTCGACCTTCGCTAAATCCTTGATCATCGCCTGCGAGCAAAGTGAGCGGAAAACGATCTAAAAGGCCAGGGAAGTATTATTGGAGGGGACTTAGAAAGTCTATACAGTATCGATCCACAAACAAATCGACCTAAAACCTTAAGACCAAACTCGAACATGAAATCAGAAAATATTGAAACTGACCATATACGGCCGGAACTCCAGACAAAGCACCCAAAACTCGAAAAAGAAGCACTTGAAATTCTAAAACGAAGGACCTAGAGCTCGATAGGGAAGCACGCAAGATCGGAAAACGAAATAGCCAAAAACCAACCAGAAGTCGAAAGGAAAAAAAAATCGAAAGTTAATTTAAAAAAATCAGAAAATGAAGTAAACAAAGCACTAAAACTAGGCGAAATTGAGACATTCGAAACAACAATAAATAATGTTAACAATGACGTTAAAACCATGACGAAGTACATGTCCTCCCCATAAAAATTAACTGGGCGTGATTGTTGGAAATTTCAAAAAGAACCCAAAGCTTATTGAGTTCGTTTATAAAGTAATTTTATCATACTGATTGAATTATGAGCTCGAGATTTGTATGTGAGGCCCAAGGCCGAATCAACTATCACCTCCGTTTAAATAGATATTGAGCTAAGCGGGTTAGCCGCGGTTACAGTAGGAAACTTATCTGCGCAATTGTGTTGCGACACAAGTTGCAAGAAAAACTACCATGCGTGAACGCAACGTTTTCGTTGCGGGAAGCGGTAATTTTATATTCGATTTTTACTTTTCACCGGACAGCGTTTCAGCCAGAAACACTGTAAGAATTGTTTTGTGTTGGCCAGGGGTGACTGAGCGATGTTTCTAGCATGTTGCACTAATTATGTTAAAGCGCCTGTAGGAGTAAAAAGCGATATTGCTTTATTTTGTGAGACAATACTGTCATGTAAGTAGATGTTGGAAAAATTAGTAATCAGTCCCCCCCCCTTCTGTTAGGCACCCCCCCCCTCCCCGCTACCCCCTATTATTCCAAGGTCACATCAAAATGTAGTCAAACAGCCATGTGAGAAAACTCGTCTTCTCGCAGACGGTTGTAATCGTATTGCATATTTCCAACAAGACAATTTTTCCGAGGTTAATAGCGACGTCCGCAAACGCGCTTGACGACAGCTAGAATATGAGATGATTGTATCAAACCAAATGGATCGCAACGTCAAAATTAGCTTTGTGGCCGAGTTTTAAGCGCAGTTCGTTTACGAAAGTCTGCCTGCTTCGTGACACTGTAGGTCTTCGTTTGTTTTGGACATGTATGCTACCGGATACATGCACTGTAAATATTGAAGAACTTTAACTCGAAGATCTTGCTTGCGCGGAGCGAAAAATCGGAGAATAATCAGCCGAGCAAGGATTGGCGTTTCGACAAACAGCGTAATTAATTCTAACGAAAAAAATATATATAATTGCTGGTAAACGCCTCCCAAAGCGATGAGAGCCTGTGCAGTAACATGTAGGAAACATGAACAGCATCAAAATATGTTTAATTAGGCGTAGTGAAGCCTGAATTTCAGCCGCCTCCTCCGCTCGGTCGGTGACTTAGCGAGCGGAGGAGAAGGCTGAAATTCAAGCTAGGTGTAGTGCCGCTCACTTTGTTTCAGATCATGGTCAAGAAAGATTGACCATAATATTCTGCGCGAGGAACTTCAAACATGATTTAACAATGCTGGGCTTGGGAGTCGATTTCCTTTCTTCAGTGTTGGCCGGCGAGCATAGGAGTGCCTGATTGATTCAGCCCAGCTCGTTAGCTGGAAGAAGCATAGAATTTAGAGACTTTATACCCTTGCTTTATAGCAAGCGATTTGTATTGATGAATCAATGTTCATATGAAACTAACCGTAGAAACAATTGAGTTTAGCGCACGTTTCTCAAACCTGGAAAATGCAGAGATATTGTTCACAGGCTTGTCGCTTACCTTAAAAGTCCGCCGAGAGTGGAATCTTCAGGTTCAGATCTTGATGTGCTTTCAGACACATTCGTCAAGCCTGCAGTAACAAACGACATTAGTTCTGCAAAATGAACCGCCTTTTCCACATCAGCTCGACGAAAACCTTAGTCTTGAGTATAAGAAAGTGACGAGGAATGCGGAATGTCTCGACAAAGTGTGATGTTTGATTTCGCACGTGTCCGTTAAAGAATGTTCCGACAACGACCTCATCAGAGTAGTTTGGACCCGACGAATCAGAAAGTGCCATGTTAATTATCTAATCACAAGTGTCAACGTTACAAATTGACAATTCCCATGTGTAAAACCCAATTTCATTAGATGTTGCAAGTGTTCACGGTGGTAAAGATGTCTGCTTTTTCTCATTTGGCAACAAAGCTATCTGTGGCTATGCAATCGCTTGCAAGAGAAGAGACTCACAAACTTTCGCAATCATCATTAATTGTGAGTTTTCTTGTTTGGTGGGGGAAAAGACAGACCTGACCCAGTTACATAATCGGTTTCTCGCGAAAAAAACCTGTCTGTTCCCGGCCCGAACTTACTGAACTCCACAGTAAAACTGACAGGCATACACTAGTTTTTAAACGGGGAAAGTGAAACCTTTCAGTTTTGAAAGGGTGGCCTTCATTCTCGCCGGGTCCCAGTCACGCAATTTAGGTCAAGCATCTCACGTTGCGTGATGATTCACCCCGCCCTACGACCACCCCTGTGCGGCCACCTCGTTATTACGTCCACTTTATTCTGGCTCGAACAAAAGCTCAGTCTGTTAATTAATACGATCAGATTTTTGTGGCCCACCGGACCGGATTATATTGTAAACGGGGTTCCACTGTACTACAATAGCTGAAATGGAAACAAAAAATGCTATAAACCTATTAATTCGTTTCAAACATCTGTCCTTTTTAAGGAAACAAATTCAGGGATAAGATTTGATAAAGTTTGTCTCCTCACACGGTAAGTTGTCTTGGCTTCCGGCTGTAAAAGTATTTTCATTCGTGGATGCATGTTCATGGTTGTTTGTATTTATGAAATATCCAGTGTACATCCGCCCCCTCCCCTCAAATAAAATTCCCGATCTTTTTGAGGGGAGGGAGAGAGGAAAACCTGACGCGCAAAGCGCGATCAGAGCCGGAGAGGGAGTCGCTCTAGCCTGTGAGCAGGTTCATCTTTGAGTCACGCGGGCGAGCGGCGAAGAGGAAAGGGATCCGGCGAGAAGGAGTCTGGTGAAGAGGTTTCTCGTCTCGCGGCTTCGCAGCTCGAACGTGAGCCTCGTCGCAAGCTAGAGCTCTCCCTCCGATCGCGCTTCGCCCATCTAGTTTTCCCCTCGCCCTCCCCCTTTGAACGCCTACTGACGCAGGCTGCCACTAACTAACGGCCGCCTTTCTACAACGACTTAATTTTGGTCCCGGTGGACAGTTCGTACATTCACTCTTATTTTTAACCTCTCTACAACGACCACCTCTCCACAATGCAACGGCAAATAAAAAGGTCACCAAGCTTGATTCGTACTACGCGAAGTAGTTCTCAGTTTCTGTTTCTTTGTTTCTTTCTTTGTTTGTTTTGTTTTCGGGTTGTTTTTCTCCCTTTCCAATGATATATTTTCGGTTGTATTATGTATTTATAAGCTAAAATAAGCATTTAAAAAAAAAAAATACATCTTAAATGTTGCACCCCCAAAAAGGGCAAAGGCCCGTTTCTGGAAGGTCCCGAAAGGTTTTCGCACCCGAAAAGCCGTAGCAAAATCCCAAACCTTTTGACTACCGAGCTGTTTTATTCATATATTCTTAGTACGAACAGAGGCTCTCTACATACAAGAAGTTTCAGCCGTATACACCTCTCTGTCTTTAAGTACCGATTAACAAAATGGGGCTTTTGGGGCCCAAAAAGATTCCGGGGCTTTCGAGAAACAGGCCCCAGGTGTCATATTACACCCTTACCTTAGCCTGCAGTACAGGCGGATTAGCGGGATACACGAGCGCGCGGCGAGAAAAATCCGCCTGTCGATTGGTTGCTTTAAGCCACGTGACGTCATACGCGAGAAAAAACAAAATGCGTTTGATTCGGGTGACAGGCCTACACGGACTCCTACGCCGGCTCGTGACATTTCTACATTTGCCGTTCTCTCATAAATTCCAGGCTCTCAACCTTTTATTTTGCTCTTCACTTGTTTTTGAAGGGCACTTAATGTTGTGTAATCAGGGTGATTTTTTTAAAAGTAGAGTAGAGCCGTCGGTCAGGTCAGAGCTCTGCATAGTTTCAGTTGTTATCTATCGCTTTGTAGAGTTTGACACCTCTGTAATTTGCCATGTGTCGAGTAGTGTGGTTTGTCTTGCCTCATTTCTATTGCAGAAATCTCTTTAATTATTCAGTCGGTGATCATCAATGTTGATTACTTGCATTCTACATTGTGATGCAGTGCCCGGTTGTTAAATTAAAACTGTGTTAAGCTATATGGGTGTTCACGTCTGTTGACTGTTTTGCGTCATATATACATTTGTAAATTGGTTATTTGAGGCATTTTTTCGCACCACGGTAAATTGAATTGCTTTATTCCCTCTCATTCTTTCATGCCAATCATTTCAAGGGGGCGGTAGAGCATAAACAATGGTTTGACTACAGGAGGATTTTTCTCGCCTCGCGCTTCGCGCCCGCTCGTGTATCGCGCTAGAGCCCTCTAATCCGCCTGAACTGCAGGCTACCCTTACCTCGGCTGTCTCACTTTACATTTTGATTTTTCTCGTCCAATTCCCAAAACTCGTAGACTGTTCACAGCACTCTGTTTTCTCGTATTTTCATGCGATCGTTGAACGCGTGGATAGAATCGCGAAAGAACTCGACGCCAGCGCAGAACGGGATTCTTCTTGCTCGCTTCGCTTCGCTTGCAAACCACATCCCCAGCCCTCGTGCGTTTCGCTCGCATTTTCTTTCGCTTGCGCACACATAGAGAGGCTGCGAACAGTCTACGAAACTCGCTGAAGCTAGACTTTTTTTTTTTTTTTTTTTTTTGGTAAGAATTACCACATGAAAGCTGATGGACGGCTCATATTTCCACATATTTTCTCGTGGTACTGCCCGGAAACTATCACAGCCGAGCGGAAACAAAGAAATTGTTTCACGATAAAGTTCGTGCCTGATATCCATATCGCGTGCATTTCGAATTGAAATAGACATTTTGTGCACATCGCTACCACAAGAACCTCTCGCTGATTTGTATAGAAAGAATGATTCTTTCATGACACAGCAAACTTTATTTGAAAACATTTTCCGTGAATTTTTCTGTTTCCGTGCACGATATTATATCAAAGTGGATGAAAAGATTTTTACTCTTATTGAAAGGGAAAGCGGTACCGGAGTAAGTCAGACTGGGACAGTGGGAGTATTACATAAAACAACAGCTTACGGTACGTGTCTCGGGTATGGTTCTTCAAAAGACTAGAACCTACTCTTTCCTGCGTGACTCAGCATATCCTGCGTGACTAATCGCAAAAATAGCTGCGAGAGGGTGATTTGACACCCATACCGACCGTTACAGTTCACTGCACGGAGGTATAAAATAGCTGTCAACGCGTAAAAACGCCTGCAATCGTTGATTGATTTGTTTACTCCACGCAAACCTTTAGTCCATTTAAAAGGATTTGTGTTCTCGTATGTTCTCAATTGCAAAACGCGCAAGGCGTTTACTTTCGCAGATCACATTGATTGCACGTGGTTTACGTTTTCGATCTCTATAATCGCTATTTCTTATTCAAGAAAGCGAAACAACGAGGAGCGCGCGTATGGATTCATTGATTTATCCGGGAACAGACAAGCAGTGGCCAACCAGAGTTGACGGTCCTCCGCGATCGTCGGCCTTCGTCGATCTCACTTCGCAGAACGAACTTTACCAGAGAAATCAGGGGACATGTGGCTATGGTAAGTGCAACGAGGGTTCATCTCGTTTATTTATTCATTCATAATACTACTTAATAGCCTCGACAGATGACAAAATATTCACAACCACCTCACTACCTGTATCACGGTAATGTAGTAGTGAAATCGCTTTGACAACTTGATGTTTACTCGAATCTGGGGTAAATCTGACTGTTTCGCAACTATGTACGGATTTTAACAGTTAACCCGGTGTGAGAAAGATAATATGGTAATGTATGTTGCAATTTAAGATCATTTTGTCGTGGTACTGACTGGGCCATGAAGCATAAAATTACGAAATGTGTAGTCAAAACATAAGAGTTTGTATTCTTTTGTCTGGAAAATGCATGGCAAATACACGAAGATTTGTGACGAAATAGGAGTAGGAGGTCGATGGCTTTACGAACAGAAACGTTTTAAGATATTTTTGCTTCGATTTCCCTATAATTCTCGTGCAATGCTAGACATTTTGGGATTCACTGAAAGAGGACTAGAGCACTGAAATCTGAGCTCAATCGGTAAAAGGTCACGTGGGAAATCGAGAACTGCGAACGAAGCCCGGATTCGAGAAAGCCGTGCATTGGAAATAAAAAAGAAAAAAAAAATGTTTTTCTTCATTTACTTTTTTATTCTCCTACCTTTCACTAACTTACATTCTTATTATTCTACTGTTATTATTATTATTATTCTACTGTTCCATTACGCCCTACACGAATCTTTACATTTTATGCACAAAGACCTGTGATTAATGTGCAGATAAAAATCAAGAATGGTATCTCCCTTTCACTATCAAGTTATTTAGACTTCAAAGCATGGAAGCGACACATTTCTTATAGCATTACTGAGGTGGTAGAATTTGTTAAAACTTAAAATGGCCATATTTCCTTATTGCGGCAATTACAGACTGTTTCTGTTTTCTCCTTGTTTCAAATTATGCAAGGAAAGAGAAAAAAATAGGAAGGAAACAAAATCAAACTAGCACGCTACAAACACAAAAACGGTGTGACATAATTTTAAAAGTCATGTTATATTTTGCTCGTTTTAGTCATGTTAAATTTCGCTCGAATTCGCGCTGGCTTTGCCTCAGTGATTGAACTACAAACGACATTTTAGGAAAAGGAAACTGGGCGTTTTTGTTTCTTTGTTTTTGTTTTGTTTTGTTTTGTTTTGTTTTTTTCGCTTTCTGATATTTGTTCTCTTATGGTTTGAGCGTGGTCATTTGCATGTTGTTTCGTTGCGGTTTACCCGCTCTGAAAATACTCAGCGCGTTTTCCCGCCCTTCCACCGGCTGTGCGGCGGGCGGGCGCCGGGCGTAAGAGAGATAAACGCTGACTCATCTTTGCCGGCTTTACGGTTCCGCGTAGCGTAAGCCGATTTTGGGAACGAAAGCTGACTACTCGTAGCCTAACGCCGACAAGAAAAAATGCGGAAAAGAGTGGCCTCTTCCAGTCGTTCATTTAGGTGGAGTGCAGTGCGAAAAGCGGGAAGCAAAAAAAGGAGAGAGGGGCTTGGTGTCAGGAGCGCGCTGCTTACAAATCATTTCTCTCGCCTTCTTTCGCACTGTGCATCTTTTAACCGAGCGCCTGCAGATCCCTGTAACAGCCGGGCAGAGTAACGATCTCAAGAAACCGCCTTTTCGTTTATTACTAGCGATAATTCAGCCTGGCGTGACGGGTACCGCCGAACGCGGAGCTGCACAGAAAAGTTGCGATCAGCAGCGTTTTCGTTCCTCCTACCACGTTTTTGCAGGCTTCTTATTCCAGCAGATTTCAACGAGTAAATTTTCATATCTAGTTTTCTTATGTTTCCTATACTAATGGACTGGAAAATTTTAAAAATATTCAGGTATTAAATTTGAGGAACAGTGGCTCTAAGAATATAATGTATGAAATGATGATGATTTTTGATTTTTTTTTTGATTTTTTTTTTTGTTTTTTCACTTTCTAGTGCGAGCTCGAGGTTTTGTTTTCAGTCGTGCCTAATGGCGAGTCATTTCTTTTTCGCTTTTTCTTTTTCTTTTTCCATTGGGGCTAAAATTATGGCTTACTTATGAGAAGGCAGAGTTGAATTTCCGGATTTATGCGCTAAAATCGGATTTTTTTTTCGCCGAACAACGTCATCAAAAATACTGTGAGCGTGAAGTGGTTTATTTATTCTGCCAAGCACACCCCAGAAGAGAATTATTTACATGTACTTAGAAATTAAAATAAACCTGTGGTGATTGTGCTCTCCAGAGTCTTTCGTTCTGCTGACGAAAACTGCACCTGCTTGCTCTAAAACCTTTTTCACGGTTCTATCTGCCAGTGATAAGGTCAATGATTGTTATATTACGTGGAGACCGGTGCTGAAGCATTTAAGTTTTCTAGTCCAACCTTTTCCGCTTAGCCTCGCGGAAAAAGTCCCCCGGGGCTTGCGATACCAAAAGGACTATTGTTTTTTTTGTTGTTGTTTAATTACCAAACTTGCTCCGATGCGACAAGTTTTCTTACAAGTTCTGGACGTTGCTAACTTCGGTTTCTATATACAGTAACTGAGCTTGGTGGTTGACACCCGATCTAGGTGAGAAAAGTTGGCGAATATATTCTAAAAAAAACTTGTCCCAGAATTCAAGAAATGTTGAGGATGTCGGGGGAGGTGAAATGACCTGAACGTAAACCGGACACTAGAGAGCGGGGGAACTCGAGCTCTACCTGCGTGCAAACGTCTATGAGTTCCTTTCACGCGGAGAAAAGTGACGTTTGCGGAGCGCCTTCTTTGATTGTCCTCCAGTTTCTTACTGTTCACGTTTTAAATTTCGCTCAGATTATGGTTATGAGTTTAGCTGCGGTGACAAGCACGATTCGTGGCTTTTGTCGTTCTCTTGAATTTCGGTCTAACGACCTATGGTCCATTTATTCTGAAGAAACAGTAGAATACTGCAGCACGATTAGTGACAGTGCTTCGCAAACGTCACTTTTTCAAGTGGTACATCAGAACATCCTTCTTCTGTGCTTGTCATTTTGTTTATTATTTTTGTCATTAATTATTCCTTCTATTATTTCTTTATGTAACATGAGATCTGAAGTTAGCAGAATTTAGTGGAAAATTTATTGTGAAAGTCATCAGATATTTAATTCTTACTTAAAGCTCCTTCAATGCACAGATTGCGAATAGACATTTCTCTTCTATGTTTGTCACTGTTACGGGTTTCCACCAGTCACAGATGACTGTCTTTTGTAACTCGCAGAAACCCGGAACAGTAACAATTAAGGTTAAAGGAGCTCAGTCACGGTTTGCGCATGTTGAAAAGTTTAGCCTCAATTTTTCAAATTCGTCGTTTGTAATCCGTGTCAATCTTCTCCATCCTTAGCCATCCTTGTTTCTTTATAGTTTATCATTATCTCTTTGGTGTTTTTCTATCTCATTAAACTGTTATTTTCAGGTTTCCTACCATTTAAAGGTAATTTTGAATGTGGCCAAAATAACTCAAAACACCGTGACTGAGCCGCTTTAAGATTGCAAGGGATAATGTGTCTGCGCATGCGTCGATAACCACCGGCGTACAAAAGAGCAACAATGGCACCATCTGGACCAATGTTTTAAAAACTGTCCGTTATGTTTGTCGGACCACACAGCAACGGTAGTGACTAGCAACTGAAACTTATACGATATCCTTCGCAGGCGTATTTTATTTTTAAAGTTTATTTACACCTCTGTGTGTGACAATCATTTTGAAACGTCTCACAAACCTGAGGTCACCTGAGTTGAGAGCCGACAGAGATGAGCCTTCTGTCTTCTCCGGTGCAAGTGTTAGCACACACTAAATGTTACATTTAATTTCTTGTTCTCTTTTTGTATATTTCCATATTTTGGTCGATTTGCACGCTGTGAAATTATTTTCGCGTTGTTTCAATTTATCACGAGTGGAGTTATTTGATCGAGTCAACGTTTTCCGTTGAATCGGTTAAGAATGATTTTTGTTGTTAGCTGTAAGTTTTAATTAAAACGAGATCTGCCTTATCTTTACCAAGACCAGATTACTGCCAAGTACCCTGGTCTCAGAGGTTTTTCTTCATTTTTCTTCTTTTCGCGTAGCGGCGCTCGTGTTCGCCGCTTCGCGGCTCCTCGCAGCTCTCTCATGCGGAGAAAAATCAAGAAAAACCGCTGGGACCAGGGTAACTGCCAAGCAACCCACGCTTGCCAGAACTTTCCTCAACCCACAGTTTATGCTTAGGCGCACGTCCTCGTGGTACATTTACACGCGCAAACTGGAAACGTTTCTCGTGGGAACTTTTTCACACACTAATCTCTTCATCCGTTTGTTTCCTTTGCGTGGTTTACATACTCCAGATACAATTTAGAACTTTTCAGTCGAAATTGTAAAGAACTATTGTTTTGCGAAATTAATTAGTTCAAGTTATCGTTTTCACCCGACACTTGAGGAACACTCTGATTATCTTTTTAGTTCGGCTAGCATTTGTAATTTTAGCTAAGGGTAAATTGTGGCTGAACGATCGCGACCTTTTGACCAGCACAAACTGTGAAACAATTGATCCCAGACAACTTTGTGAACAATAGACTACTTTAATCTATTTCCTCAAAATATTTAAATGTTATCGCAACTGCCTTTTGTGTCTTTTGATATATTGAGACGCTGTTCTGAAAACAGATCACGTTTACAAAATGTAACTCGTCCAGTCTCTAGAATCTAATTGTTTCAGGAAAGACGTAAATTTTATTTTCATTTTTACCATCCTCTCAAACGAACCGTCGCGTTAGTTCAGTTTTGTAGGCTTTTGCTCTGGGCGTTTCCTAGCGAAAGGTTTTGGCGGTAAAAACAACGCCGCCGTTGCTAATTTCGGCAACAATTTCAAAAATAGCTCAGTTTAGCCAATCACAATACGTTGCGTAATTCATTTTAACCAATCACAGCGCGTTGTAGGCCAGGAACGTGTTAATTCATAGCGTCACGTGAATTGAACGGTTCACTTAGTAGCTTGAAGCCAACCTGACAACACAGGTTACAAGTACTGAAGACGAAAAATTGGGACTTGAAGTGCCTTCCCCAAAGAACCGCATGAAACTTAAAGTCTGCAATCCCACACGTGTACCTCTGGAACTCAAACGAACTTAATTTGTTCATAGTTTCACGTATTGCGGCAGGGTCAGGTTTGTATTCCGGATGTCGCCTGTGTGGTAATTCTTAGGAATTCAATCCAGTGGGCGCTTTCCGGTTGTTTATATAAAAGCTTTTTCATCCTTTCGTACAATGTCTATAGTACCATTCGCTTGTTATCCTACAATAAACGTTAACTTCCTTGAAGCGTAAACAGCTTGTCCAAGATTTAGAGCTGCACAACATCTGAAGCCGGAATTTCTTTCCGCGACACTGCTCCGGTAAATTTTATATAGTTCATAAGCCTGACTTCTTCGGCAAACTTGAAACGAATTTTTCCGTTAACTTGTAACATTTTTGGCTATTCTCTCTTACAGCAGTCATACTGAAGTTAACTGCCAACCGTAAACTGATCCAAAAATTTTGATTCGACCGCCAAACAGTGTAATCTTTTCTTTCTCCGTGAACGGTTTTGAGTATATGATTTGCAAGAGCTTTTACTTAAAATAGCCTATTGTTCATTGTCCAGTTGCACATAGCCTTTCGGTTTGTAGTCCCTTTAACTCTCGATTATTTCAGTTATTTTATGATCTTTTATAGTCCACTTCGTGACAGAAGTGACAGCTAGGTCTCCTCTACGTCCGAAATAAACTTCTTGTAAATCATGTTATACCGCACGTTATTTAGCAAAATGAGACATTTATGATAATATTCAGAATTGATATTTTGCAACTTGTCCCGAGAGATTCAGATGACAAAGGCCTGACGGCCATGTTTGATGACACAAACAAAAGAACTTATATTGGCTTCGTAGAAATCTTTTGTTGATGTCATTCAATATAGCGGCGATGACATCAGGTGAAAACAAATGCAAGAATTCAGTGAAATCTCTATATATCGGTGTAACGTAGAGTAAAGTAGTTGAGACTCGCACCCGATATGCATACAAATCGACTTAAAAAGGAGTCAAAATACTTAAGTTAACGGTGGACAAAACAATTCAAGAGTTTTTCAGTTATTTCAGTCATTTTATACACCATATTGTGCTTCTATTTCAGAACCACAACCAAGCTCGTCTTCCAAAGGAGAGATGAATTTGGAGGATGTTCCTGTGGTGGACAAGTCATTTTCATTACCCCAAAATGTCTTTGAAAGGGTTCTGGCGGCTCAAACACGTGTTTCAACTACCTGTCCTTCTTCGCCGAAAGGATTCCTGAATCCTTTTGTGAACTATTCTGCAGGTCAACAACAAAGACGGCGTACTTCCGGTGATTACGTCACAGAGCTTACCGAAAGTGAAGCTAAACGACCTCGCCTATCACCACCCATTACCTCCGAGCAAGATCTCGCGCAGAGAAGGCATAATAAAAAGCTTGAACGAGAACAATTTAAGTTACAGATCTTACGAAGACTCGATAACACCAAAAATAACATTTTAAAGCTGCTAAAGTTACAACATATGCAAAATCTGGTTCATTATTACGAGAATGACCCGCTTTTCAATCAAACCGACAAGTCCGGTAGCTTTCGAAGAAGTGAACTTCGGTTTCATTCTCAGCAGGGTTCAGCTTATGAGAGACAATATCAGACCCCGACTTTAGCCCCTGTGCAGAATGATCCTAGGCCAGTTTCTGTTTCACCAAACGCACAGGGCATAAGCAGATCGTCCCATCTTCACTCCTCATCTCACAATTTTCGACGCGTGCCTGGGATCAGCATTGTTACTAATGCTGATCAATGGAAGGAACATAGGACTAGTTATTCCTTCAAGTCGTCTGATTCGGTTGGCTTAGCCTGGGACCACAAAACACTTCCCAAAATCGTCGCGGTTCACTCCATGATAAACAATGCAAACGCTAGTGTTACGAAAACCGTAAATCACCCTACTCCCGGGAGGACCGTTGGCCAGGCTGATTATGCGCGCGAGAAGAGTGAGGTCCGGCAAAACCAGTCGCAGGCACCAGTCATAAGTTTAACAAGTGGAATCAACGATAGAGCCACGGCCGTGACAGATCGTAGATACAGTCACGAAGATGAAGAAGTCGTTGTGACAAATGTTCTTCCTGAAAGACCTCGCTGCTCGATCAGCACGGAACAACAACGCACGAAAACAAAGTCAAACCACAGTGAACGTTCTGTAGACGAAAGAGATAGTTCACCAAATGACCTTCAAGTAAACAGGCGCAATTTCACGAGGATTGTCCTCGATACAAGTTATGACAATAAGGATATCGCTGATCCCGGACATGCTGAACAATCTCTGCTTACTGAAAATATAGCGCGTGCTGAACTTTCGAGACATTTTGATCATCCGGGACATACTGAACGCCTCAGACATGTCGATTATCCGGGACATGTTCAACATCCGGGACAGGTTGAACATCCAGGACATGCTGATCATACGGGACATTCTGATCACACGAGACACGGTGATGTGGAGACAGTCGAGCGAATAGACTTGACAAATGGCTATGCCCACAGTGATAGCTCTATGACCAGCCAGGGCATTGCAGCTAGTGCTTCTCAGATGGAAACAGTCGAAAGCCAAGATCATGTACATCCAGGTTCTCTTCAATACCCGGAGCATGCTGACTCAGAGGTATAATAATTGGGACGTTAAATGTTCTCAGATTCTTCGTGATCTTATCTTGCCAAGCTTAGTTGACAGACGAGATATTAAGACACCGATGTACAAAACTATATGAATAAACAATTCCCCAAATATGCTTCAGAGAAATTCACCTTAGCAAGTACCATCCACAACTACATTTTCAGGGGATCCGCACGTAATCTTTTTATTTCAGATAGACCAAATACAATACAGAAGTCCTCGAAAAGAACTTTGCCCAGAGAGTATCTGTCCCAGTTATGGAATAGTCTGTCACCGGAAGCAAAGCAAGCCCCTAGTTTATCCTCCTCTAGAAACATTCTTTAATGAAAACATATACTACGTGCTATAGTTAGTTTAGTATATAATATTATTCTAATTTAGGTAGTTACATTTTAAATAAGTTTTTTTTCTTTCATTATGATTCTCTTTGTAATTTGCACAGCACAATGATATGAAATGGATACCGTGGGTAAATAAAGATTTTATCATTGTTTATTGTTATATAGGTATACTTGGGCGGCCCCCCTCCATACCTTCCCGTTCTCGACAGTTCGGAAATGGCTGAGCAGGAGAAGGAGAGAAGATCGCCACCCGAGACGGGAGAACGTCGAGGCAGTAATCCCACTTCACCCAGGCTCAGCAAGACGGTTCCAGAAATCAAAGAGAAGCTCAGGGAAACAAGAGAAAGAATGAAGAACGAGACCATAGAATGGAAGAAAAAGATACTCTACAAACTGGAGAAACGGTTGATTATGAAACTGAAGCGAGCCGAAAGTTCGACGGATTTGCAGGAAGAAGGTGCAGATAAGGGAAAGAAGCGTGGAAGTCCATGTCACGATAGAAGGAGCAGTGGTGCGGGTAGCGTGACGGACAGTGTCACGGATAGCGTAACGGACGACGATGATAAAAACCTTGAACACTCCGACAATCTTCCTCAAGAGTCAGTAAACGTAGAGGAATCAGACGATAAACCCCATAAACGTCCACAAGAAGATAACAAAAGCGAAGATCTCTCCATGGAGCTCAAGGACAGTTGTGAAGAGGTGCAAGTTGAAATTCCACGCACCGAGGAAGAAAAAACGGAACACAGTGAAACTTCCACGAGAGTAATAAACGAAGAGAAAGTGAATCAATGTTCCAAGAGTTTCGAACAGCCATTGAATGCATACGAAGAGGAGTCGGACGATAACATAGTCAAAGTAGAATGCGGGACAAACGAACATTACGAAGAAATTAAATTTCACAGTGAAGAGGAAACGAGAAGTGGAAGCGAAACCTCTTGCACCGTGAGCGCAAAGGTAGCGCAACGCGAAGGCACTGAAACGCCCATTAGCACTGAGTTATCCGAGAACAAACGAGTGAAGTCACCGCAAGAGTCCAATGATTTGAAAACGGAATGCGTGACGCTTGCCGGTAACGCAAACGAAAAGCCAAAGGAGGGAAATAAAAATCTATTTGAGGCTTTTTCGTCTGGATTCCAGGCCCCCGCCCTGAAGACGGACAAACCTCAATTGCCAGAGAATACTGAGCAAGCGTCCCTAATTACAAAGCAAGAAATGGCTTCCTCTCCTCCTGAAACGAAGAAGAAAGATAAGCCCGCTGAAACAAAGAAACTGGTTCTAAAGAGTGAGAAACTCTTGACGAATTTGAGCTCTCTAAAGAAAAGACTTCAAACTTGTAGTAAAGAAGTACTGAAAAAGAAAACAGAGACTGTAAGATGTGACCGAAATATCTGGTCAGTCTTAGAAAGAAACGGTATTTCTTAAACTTGTTTCATTTCGCTTCGCTTTTCGAATTTTTACGCCTGTATTATTTGAAGGCTTTGTTCTATTTCAAGATCGTCTTGCATGTCACATACAGCGTTTAGGTATAGAGGTTATCTCATGGGTATGTCACACAACGTTTTAAAAAACGCATGAACAAAGCCCCTTTTATTAGGCCTCCAGCTGTTTCATGCGTTTCGTTTTCGACACGTTTTCCACAATATATGTCGATTTCCACAAATCGTCTCTTCCATTTGTTGCCCGTTAATGTTCACGGTATTCAACGTCAGCGTACAAGTTTTCCATACTTTTTTCATATATTTGTTAAAGTATTCACTATGAAAAATTTCATCGTATATCAAGATAAATTTCTTTCAGTGACCATTTGTTTTATTCCAGTGATGTTAATGTAATAGTTAGTATTAATGTTTTGAGTAGGTGTATTTTGATCGCTGCTAAGGCTGAAACGTGTTATGAAATAATAAGATTGTATGAAAAGAGAAGGCCAATTCAGGGTTCTCTCTCTAAAGCTTACCTATGTTTTTATTCTACTAGTTTTTTTTCAAAGTAAACGAAAACTGGAAGTTTTCTCCTCTCTCCTCTAGTCTATTAAGTTCCATATTGTTAATATAATAGATTTTTATATCTTTGAATGAAAAAAAGAAAAAGAGAGCTTTTAATAAATCCCTTATATTCTTTAATCTGTTCTTTCATTTATTTGCGTATGTAACCCAATTTATGAACAAGAAGAACTGAATATTCTACAGGGGTTTCAAACAAGAAAATAAACTGCTACCTACGGTGGCCCATAAGTGCCACGCAGAAAACGATTTGTTTTTTTTTTTAAACCGATTTAGCGACTTTCTTCGCCACTTTTTACGCGACGTTTTTTTTTTGTTCTTATTGCAAGCTGGTGCGCTGAGTCTGCGGACTTCATGATCAATATACAAAATTGCTATACTCCTAAATATTTCACATTGCTTACTACACTTTTACTTAACAATAAGTAATATTTTCTTATTAACCTTAACCCAAACAGAGACCACTACTGTATGATTTGAATATTATTTTATTCACAAGACTTGTATCTTTGAAGACATAGGAATTGCTACGGTTTTCACAGCAAAAGTAAACGACGTTTTAATCAACTTTCTATATACATTTACCTCATTGAACGTTTGCCACTGTAGTCTGTAGTCTACAGTCTATAGTCTAGGAAGTGATCCTGTTTTAGTCTTCCATACATACATTTGTTGGTAAGATCGACTTAAAACTTGTGGCGAAATTTGGCTGGAACAACCCAAACGTAACATATATGTTTCTCGAAAAACCTGCATCACTAGTTCTGACTCCGTTAGTCATAACTGAGTTGTGTCGCAAAGAAGCATTATAGGCCATAAATATTTCAGAAATTGAATTTTTCGGGAATTTTCTCATGTCAGGTTGCCCAACGTCTACACCGCATAAAATGGCGGAAAAAAAAGACCTTAGTTGCTACTGTACTTAAAAAATTTATCACGCCCACTATGCAACTAAGAGATAAAAAATAGTAGCGCCTACAAGTTTGTTTGTTTGTTTGTTTGTGAGTGTGTTTGTTTCTGCTTTTTTTTCCTAGGAGTAAAGTAACGTCCTTTTTGGAAGCTGATGCTTTGCAATGCGACGTTGTTTACCATATACGACCCATAGTAAAGAAAAACTTGTCAAGTAAAAATTTAACCTTCTGTACCAAAAACTGTTATAAATAGACAATAAAATTTCCGAGCTCTAGAAGTATACGAAGCTCGCCAGATACAGTCAAACTTGTTTCGCAATCATATCAATTAGTTTAAAAAAAGTATTGCACAAGTATCGAGTATGCCCAGGTGCAAAATTTTTACACGATTCCCTTAATTAAGATTCTGGCATGAAGACTATTAAAAATGTCGTGAAAAGATTAATCGGGGAGTCGAGGTTCGTTTTTTCATAAACGTTTTCGAACGTTCTTGAAATCCAAAATTCGACCTCGTGTTCTTAATAGTGCAGTAATCCCGAATTTTTGACAAATTAAAATGGTGTTAAAACCAATCAGCTTCCGAATCTTGAAATTGTGTTTCATTCTTCCAGATGCTGCCAATAACTTTGCCATATATAAGCCTCAACGTTTAAGTCAGTCATTTCAAACCAAGGACTTGTATTTCATTCCGTGCAAAATAATCTCTTTCTCTGTGTGTTCTACTTTATCCTTAGCAGCAAGGGATCTCTTGGATTTTTCCTCGCATTGTTCAATGGTACAGCACATGTATCGCAAAACGACGATGAAAAGAACCAAACCAACAATGCATGCTAGAAGAATAAGGCCATCTACGTTAGGGTCCACTTGATTTTTCTTGTGATTCTCTTTCCAAGTCGTTTCTTCTTCTGCGGTTTCCTGTAACTCTCTGTTCTTTTCTGTCGCTTTCGTGCTGTCTTCGTTTCCTTCTGGCGATTCAACTTCGGCTTTGACTGGCACGTCTTCGTGATGTCCATCGGGTTTTCCATCAGCACTAGCTACGCCAATGAAAATAACTAACGCGAGCAGCATCGCGCCGAGGAATAACTTTGAGGAAGCCATAAGCGTTGTTTGGCTTACACGAGGTTAATGCCGAATAAGGTCGATTGGGTTCTCATAAGTGCTCCGGTGTGATAAGCGAAATTCTGTCAAACGTTCGTGAATATTTTATTCAATATCTCACAGCTAAGGTGTGTTTTGACAAAGAAAAGTAAAATATGTCTCCGAAATTGCGTCCTCGGGCAAAAACGGCAATTAACGTCAAAAGATGGCTGCATTGATATGTTGTTTTCGTAGTGCCCCGGGTTATTTTAAATCAGCACACAAAAACTAACACTTAAAATGAGACGAGTTGATAAAAGGAGTAAACCGTGATGTTACGAACATTAATTAAGAATCTTGAGATAATGAAAATCACGACGGACTTGGCTCGGTTATGGAACATATTGTAACAATGGTCTGAGTTTGAAACTTGGGATAAAGTCGTAACGAACCCTCTTCGAAAGTATTCGTGTTTTTTCGTAGACATTTGTTGCTATATGGCGCCGAGACCTGGGTGTAAAATATATATGGTTTAATTAATTTCCATTTAGATCCCAACTTAACTTGTTTTCTCGTTTTTCCGGATGTTCGGTGGTAGTATCTAAAGAATTCGGTTACTTGCCCTACGTTTAAGTCGCGCTAGAAAAAAAAAAAAAAAAAATTAAAATTGTAGGCTCGTTGACTTGGAAATGAGGTTCTGCATGGGAACGAGGTTGAATTGAGTCGTGTTTCTGCTTGCCCCTACTAGCACGATACAAAAGCTCCATTTTTTTACCGTCTGTAACTTCTTCAAAGCTCTTTTATCTCAATCGAACCGGTCATTGATAACACTTACCTGTTAGTTTCATTTTGGCTTTATCTGAGTGGCTGTATTTAATTCATGTTAACAACCGGAACTCGAATTATAGGAAGCTTCGTCTTTAATAGAGCCGAAAGACGGCCGAAGCATCATAATCGGGATCACTCGTCAAACGATCGGAAAAAGCTCGTTTTTAAGCCGACTGTTTGATTTTCCAGTGTTTGCTTTAGACGGGCACCCGTTGAGTTTAAGACTGGTAAAACTTCACGGTAAAATTGTCAGGACGTAACTAATTCCCCATTAAGTGATAAAGCAGAGTGAAATTCGCTCACGTCAGTTTTGAAATGATTCAAATTTAGCAGTGTCAAAGAACTTTTCTTGGAACATTAATTTGAACTTAAATCAAATCTTCCGGCTTGATCTGTCCTGGTGACAAACAATAAATGGATTGTATTATCAAAATGGAATTCGGTGTTCCATTCATTGAACCTACGTCATAGTCAGTGTTTTGTTTCTTTTCAATATTAATGTATTGTTTACTGGCGGAAGGGAAAAAAAGACAACTTGAGAAAAAAAAATTGCACAAGATTATTTCGCCTCATCCGTATCCACATTGAAGTTCTGGTATTGCGGGGAAAGATAACAAGGGACACTGATTTGATTCGTCGAGAACAAGGCTGGAAAATAGGGAATTAACTTGCGAACCATGATGAATCTTTGACGAAACAACCGGAACGGAGTGTCGCCGAGTCATATTTTCATCAGGATTCGATTTTTTTTTTGCACTTTTGGTTGGCTTATCTAGCACTCGAAACATTTAGAAGAAATATGGACAATTTAATTTTTTACCTTGCGAAGATAGCTTTAGTGCTGGCTTTCTTGGCAACGACACCTACTAGAGGTAGGAAGGAAGACGAAAGTCTGAAACTGTGCTTATAATTTCTCCTCACATCATATTTTTAACGCTATTTTCTCTTTAATTGATTAAAACTAAGGCAGGGACGTTCGCTAGAAGACGGAGAGCTCGGCTCTTTCGTGTCAAAAGTTGGCCTACAAATAATTCGATTTTCCGGTCTTTAGTTGACGGGTAGAGTTCTGTTACATTATATGATTCGAGATGAAGGAAGGCAAATCGTTTGGACGTAAAATGAGAGATATAATCGTAGTTTAAAATTTGCAGAATTCTACTGCCAACTATAAGCTGCGTTAACGTGTTAATTGAAGATAAGGAGATTTGTTTTCTTGGTGGTACTTAATGCAATGAAATTTATAGTAGTCTTTATGTGAAAGTTTAATGACCTTAGATCTTTTGTCTCATTCTGATCCACAGGAAACGATTCGTTTTTTGGTCTATATCGAGGTAAGCAAATTAAAATGTTTGTTTTACACTGGGAAAGCTTCATCAGTGTTGTTACTACTCAATGCAAGTAGTTAAAACGTTTTTAAGCCTTGTTCTTTCCTTACTTCATGTTAGCAACACGCTCAGGTCCTCCTCTCGCCATCAATCAAAATCCCGTATGTAAAAAAGCCCAGTTGCTGCACAGCGACGTAGTACAGAATGCCTCTTTGGAGGGCCAGCTGCAAGCCGGGAATTTTACATTTCTCGGGGCTGTCAAAGATATGGAAGAATGTATGTCACTGTGCTGTGCCAGCAAACGTTGTCAACTGGCATACATGGATAAGGCCAAATGTTATGGCGTCAAGTGCTACAGCGAGGAACTGTGCAAAATAACAACTGGTATCTCAACGAATGACGTCAAGATATCGCTTATGGTTAGGAATGATATCAACAGAAAAGGTATGGCGATAACAGCAACAGGAATATTATCGTAGGTTTTTCTATCTAAACATCCCCTTTTTAAATATATGTCTTTTCTGTCGTGGGCAGAAGTCTGTAAGTAGGTTATAGACTTCAGCCTGCATTGTCATTTTCTCCAGCCCCTTTTATGCAGAAAAAGTACTAATTGCATCAAGCTTTCCAGCTGGTTGTTTATGTTCTTCCGATTAACTGCTGATAAATGAACCGCGAGCCTTTTGAAAAGTTAATGAATGTAAAAATTAGAAACAAAAGAAGTTGTTTGGAAATCCTGGTAGAACATTGATGGAAAGGTTCTTCAACCAGTTGGAAAAAAACTGAACAAAGTTAAAACGGGCTTATAAAATGTTACGATTTGAAAGCTGTCAGACTCCCACCAGAATCAGTTGTATGGGCCAATTTGCCTGAGAGCCTGTGATGTTTTCACAATACTGAGTGTTAAAACACCTAGAGATTTTTTTGTTTGTTTGTCTCGTTGTTTATTGGTTTGCTGGCTGGTTAACTTCTTTCTTTGTTTGCTCGTCGGTTTATGTTCGTTTTTGTGAATATTGGTAGGAATGCGTATATTCATCATTTAATAGAAAACATTTCGTCGCTGCAAACAGCTGTGAAATATGCATATGCAAATGAAGTCTTGATTCTAAGCCTGTCTTATCAGGGTTGTACTGTCACGCAATAAAAAAATAATAATAATTCGAAACCCATTCAGTGTATAAAGTCAAGAAATTATGACGTTATAGGAGATTAATAAAGAAGACACTTCGCCAGGTTTTAGGTCTGTACGTTTTCCCAAACTTCAAATATTCGTCGAAATATTTTGCACAAATTTACAGAGCCCAGTATGAAGCCGCCATGTTGGAGTACCGGCCGGAAAATAGTTCGAACATCTGGAACTTACTTTGCCTATCTAGGCGACTGATTATTTGAACTGATCGAGCAAATAATTTCACTTCTAAAAAGGCTAAAAATCACGAGATAAGTATATTTTTTTCGACAAATGCGTTCGTAGCTTTATGTCACGCACCGCCATAACTCTCAAATTCAAAATGTGCCTGTTTTCAGACGAAGCAAGCTATTGAGCTGAAAAGTTGTTAGCCGATATAGCTTTATGCCTGGTGAAGATAATAACTTTGGTGGCTGTTTAGTTTTGGAGTTTAGAAAATGATGACGTCACATGCATGATTTCTAGTCCGTACTGCGCAGTCTCAGCACCTTAATGTTTATAAACATAAAAAACCTCACTCGATAGAACGCGAATCGATGTTATTCGTTTCGAACCACATACCTTATCTTTGAGGCCTTTCAAATTCTTTTTCCAACTGCTTCATTGATTTTTACAGCTGCAAAGTTGTTTCATCTAGCGATATGAGAAAGAACAAAACATTATGCTTCGCGTTCATAATGGCGGCTGTCATGAAACTTTGAATTTACTTCATGTAAGTACTTGCGAAATGTTCACATTTTGTGACGTCATTCATTAAACAAAACAAAAAACTTTGACAAACTCTCGAGAATGCGCAGTACGGACTGGAAATCATCTTTAAGGAACTCGGTAAAACAATCGACAACCTATTAAAGTTATTAAAATCACCATTTGTCCTACAGCTTACGTAACAGCTTACATTGTGGTGGTAGTTGTGGCATTTGGGGCTGCAGTGTCTGGAACTGTATGGGCTGTCTTTATTTTTGTTAGAAGGTGAGTTACTTAGCAAGGATCCAATAAGAAACCTAGTTAACCCTTGCCTCCCAAGAGGGCCAAAGTTTAAGCTCGGAAACAAGTTGCAAAATAATAATAACAATAATGAAGTTTTTTGGGCGCATTTAGAAAACTCAATGCGCTTTCATTACAAAGTGTTAAACAAGAAGTGCTGCCACTTAAACGTACTACACAATAGCTTTCATTTGATTGGTCACACACCAGGGTTTTGATCTGCAGACGGAAAATTAAAGTTCGAACCTCCCTTTACAGTATGATGCTCTGAAACATCACCACATCTAAGAACCGCTCAGCAGCTCAGGTTCGTTTGAAATAATGTCACACACCGGAGTTTTACCCACAAAACGTAAAACTGAGAACAACCTCGCTTGTACAGCGTAATAACCAGTTCCACATAAAAGCATGAACTGCTCAAAAGCTTTCATTTCAACCCAAGAGCTTCATTCGCACTCTCAACAGTTAGAACTCCTTTGTTGGTCACGAGCTTTTAATAAATTAAAGTGTGGAGACGGACACGTTGACCGTTGGCTTGATGTTTAGCACGCTGTTCGCGATCGAGCAGTCCAAGTTTAACCCTGTCCTTAGGTAGGGCACTTTACCCTCAACGTGCCTCATTCCACGCAAGAGTGGAAATGATCTCAGGTCCCTTGTCGCTACATGCTACTAGTGACTGGGATAAACAACCACTTTGTGCGCTACATTAGCATGAATACGTAAAGTTCTATCTCGACTCTGGCTCGTTACACTGTTCTCATACTTCTTCATATCAGTAATTTAGTTAAAAACACTATCCATCCATCATTAGGTATCGAGAAAATGGCGGACCGAATTCAAGCAAGGGTGAAGGTGACGAAGAAGAAGATATAAATGCTGAACCTAAGGTGGGTATCTCCTGTAAATGAAAACAAGTTAGAATTTTACTAATTGAAGTTTCCTTTATTGAAATCTTTTTCGACTTTGCCCCTTTCATGGACCCCCTTCCCTCCGTTGTAGATAGCTACCCTTTCACGGAGATAGTACATCTTCGTTGATATTCCTTCCGATTGCAGGGTTATGCAAATTAGCCAAGTTCTAAACGAGAAAGGGACTGGGTACGAATATTTGAAATCGATTAGTTTT